GTGCGGCTGGGAGGCGGGCGATTGCATTTGGGTTTGTCGGTAGCGGTGCCGCTGCGAGAGTTTGTTTTTGTGACCGCAGAGGGAAGGCATCTGCTGCGTGTGTCTTGTCGTGGTGGTGCTGCGTGCCCCGTTTATTTTGTATTGTTTTTATTGTTTTTTTCAATTTCATTTTTGACGTTGCGCCCCACTCCTCCTGCAGTGCGCTGAGGGAAGTGGCGGCGTTGGGGGTTTTGTGGGGGCCGTGATGGGAGGTCCCGCCGGCATGCGCACTGCGTGTTGCTGCTGGCAGGGTTTGAAGGGTCTGGGCGGGGTAGACGGTAAGCGAGGTGCTTATGAATTTGTTTTTTATTATTTTTGATTTCTGCGGGGCGTCACAAACTCCGGATGCTCCGTGCGGGTGCGTGTGGGTGTTTCTTCCGGCTGCGCACAACAGTCGCTGCTACCGCCGTCTTCTTTGCGTCTGGCGTGTCTTGTGGGCGGTGGCGAGTGTGTGATTCTGCGGCCCGTGCGTTTGTCGGCACAGCCTCAGTTTTGGATTGTCGCTTTTCTTTTCGGTGTGCGCAACTGGGCGTGCGTGCGGTGATCGTCGTTTTATTTTTTTTTCTCCTTTGAGTTTTATCACCCAACGTTCTCTCCCCAATCACACGCGGAAGGAAAAAGACCAAACGCTACTCGCTGCTGTGCACATTGAAACGCTCTGCAGTCACCACCAGCAACACACACACACACAATCGTCGCGGCCTGAGTGGATCCACCACAAGGAGGGAAGGGAGACAGTGAGTGAGTGAGCAGCAACACATGCTCAATATGTCCTGGCACCTGTTTTTGTATTCGGTGTTGCTCCTTTTTGTGCTGTTGATATGCTTTGCCAGTACGGCTGTGCACGCCGAGAAGAGAAGTACGCCAAAAGACGTGCAAATACCAGAGGTTGTTGATGTTTTTGTGCCGCATCGAACGATTGTGGAAACACAAGGTGAAAATCAAAAGAGGGATTATTTTGTGTTCCCTTCCCTCGCCAGTGCTGGTGGAGTGTTGGTTGCACTTGCCGAGGGTCACAGCTTCTTATACTCCCTTAAACAAACTTCGGTCATTTTTGCTGATGTTGTGGCGGGGTACATTGACTCTGCAGAAAGCTGGTCGCCTTTTGTGGCAGAGGTCCGTGCAAACGAATGGATGGCGTACAGCATCGTTAACACGACTAAGGGGCTCTATCATCCTTTTCCAGTGATACGCACGTTCCGACCCACAACAATTGCAAAGGGCAACAAGGTCTTTCTACTTGCAGGAGGCCATTATAGGAAGTTCGTTCCTTCATTGAAGAAGTGGATTTCACCTTTCCAAGGTTTTGATTTGCTCGTGGGTGAGGCCACGCAAGATAAAGTCATTCAATGGGGCGAACCCACCTCGCTTTTGCCACAGATCGAACCATTTGCTAAACGACGTGGTCTGGACAAGTTTGGTGGTGGTGGTGGCTCAGGCGTTGTGATGGAGGATGGCACGCTTGTGTTTCCTGTGACGACGAGGAGGACACGAGAAAACGAATTTGTGTCCATGATCATTTATTCGAAGGACGACGGCAAAAATTGGACATTTCCACAGGGGATGCTCCCTGCGGGGTGCACTGAACCCCTCATCATCGAATGGGAGCAGGGGCAGCTTGTCATGGTTGTCAAATGTAATTCGCTCTCCAAGGTGTTCGAGTCGAGGGACATGGGGGCAACGTGGAGGGAGGCTGTCAGGACACTGACACGCGTGCAGCCCATGTTGTTACCAGACTCTTTGCGAACAGCTGAGAGAGTGGGGTCCCTCACCACTGCGACCATTGCTGGAAAGAAGGTCATGCTGTACACTCAGAAAGGGATTCCCCCTGGGGCCATGGGGCGAGCCACCGCGCTCTACCTTTGGGTCACTGACAACAACCGCACGTTTCACGTCGGGCCCATTTCCATGGACACTGCGGGGAAGCGGACGTCTAACAACACCCTGCTGCACTCGAAAGATGCGTTGTACTTTTTACAAGAGAGGGGTAGGTACATGGAAAGCAGCGTGTCTCTTGCTCCCCTAACAGAGCAGCTGAAGACGATCACGTCCGTCTTGAACACTTGGGCAAAAATGGACTCCTTCCTCTCCAACTCGTCGGTGCCCACGGCCGGTCTGGTTGGATTCTTGTCGGATGCATCGGGTGAAGGAACGTGGAACGACGCGTACCGTTGCGTGAATGCAACTGTGACGAATGCAACGAAGGTCGAAAATGGCTTTAATTTCACGGGGTCCGAATCATACGCCACGTGGCCGGTGAACATGTGGAAGTATCGCAATGTGCACAGCTTTGTGGATTACGCGTTCACGCTTGTGGCGACGGTGACGATTCATAAGGTTACGAAAGAGAGCGTTCCTCTGCTGGGCGCGGCCCTGGAGGACAGGTGATACGACGTTTGTGGGGCTGTCGTACACCACAGATAAGCGGTGGGTAACAGTCTTCGACGGCACGACAACAACACACAGCGGCACTTGGGAGCCGGGGAAGGAGTATAAAGTGGAGCTCATGCTGCAGGACAACAAGGGCTCTGTGTACGTGGACGGCGTGCTCATGGGGAGCTCTGACACACTACCAATCCTTAAGTCACGGAGGCATGATATCTCTCATTTTTACTTTGGCGGCGGCGAAAACAGCAGTGTGACAATAAAGAACGTCTTTTTGTACAACCGTCCACTGAATGCCATTAAACTCAAAGCGGTTTATGTTTGTCAGATCCATCGGATCTGCCACCTGCACGTTGCTCAGACGCATGGGAGTCATGCAGGTGACAGCTCCACGCGTGCTGATGTGTTCCGGGTGTCAATTCTGCTGCTATTGGGGCTATGGGGCTTTGCCGTTCTGTGCTGAGTGGTGCTCGGTTGTGTGGAGTTTGTGCTTCTACTGAGAGCATCTCCGTTTCTCCGCGCGCCCTGAGAAGTAAATAATGCGTGTCCACCTAAGAGACTTTTTGTTTTATTTTCCGCTACCTTTTTTTTTTTTTACGTTTACGCATAAATATATTTTTTTTTCTTTGGCCCATAAATTGCGCTCTTCTCTCGGCGCCAGTACAACGGGGTCTTCATTTGTTTTATTTAGTCCTTTTTGTTTTTTATATTGTTCGCTTCTATCAATTACATGAGACCATTAATCGGTTTGCTTTTTAGTGTATGGGTTCAGTATATTGGTTTACTGCTTTACAGATGTGTTTTTTTCTTCGTTGGTTGTTGTTTTATCGGTTTGTTCTTGACGACGGCGTTGAGCCTGCGTGTTTGCCTGGCGGTATGAGATGCTTCACTGCGCCCCTACACTGCGGTCACCGCGGGATCGGGGCTCTCTCTTTTTTATGTCCTGGTTTTTTTTGGTGGGTGCGGACGTGTGCCACGGTGCCGGATGACGCGCAGGCCATCGAATTCGTTCGAAAAGACACGAATAAAAACAACTAACTGCTTTTCTTGGGCGACTGCGGACGCTCTCGGCATTGTGTGTCTGCCGATGGGAGAAGGAGAGAAGGAAGGAATGAGAGCCACAGCAACGCACTGCGGGTCCCTGTGGAAGTTAGACGGTGTCTGGACGCCGGAGCCTTTCGGTGGTTAAAACGAATGTCTTTTTTATATATATGCGTCTAAAACATGAAAGCCTTTTTTTTGTTTGAAGGATTGCACAGGGACCTTCCACGACAATTTTTTTTTGTGAAATTTTTTTTGAGAAGTAAATATTTTTTTGTGAAAACGTTTTTACGAGCTTTTTTTTTTTTGGTAAATCATTTTCATTGTGTGTTAGCAATGCACGGTCTGCGGTGTCATTTTGAGTCTTAGTCATCTGGTTTTTCCATCTTTGCGTCTTGCATATCTTCTGTGTGTGTATGTGAGTCCTCACACGCTTTGATCCCCTTTCCTCTCTTTCAATTTTTGTATCTGCAGGCACACACACACACACGATTTATATATATTGCAGTTGCACGTGGAGGATGTTTTTGTAGTTGGTGCCGACAGTGACACATGCGAGTGCTGCTGCCTCCTTCCGTGGGGATGAAGGGAAGAGAGAGACTAAGGGGGAGGCGTTGCGCTGTGGGTCATTCTTCCTTTTCTTGCGAAGGCAGGGCGCTGCGTGGTGGCATCGTCAACTGGAACGGTGTGGAATGGCGGTGCGGTGTGGGCGTCGTGCCATGTGATGGTTGCAGGTTCAGTTCCCGTGTGTGCGCGTGTGTGATCGGAGGAGTGGGTGTGGGTTGCTGCTCTGCTCCGTCGTGGGTGGATGCTGGCGCGGTGTGACTCTGTTGTGTGGAGGGTCAGGTTCTCTTCGTTTGTGGGGTGACGGCGCTGCGATGGTGTTTGTGTGCTGTTTGTTCTGCTGTGTACGGCGCGCTCCATCGTGTTGGTGGGGTGAATGGGGGCGTCGCGCGGTCTCCACACAAGTGGCAGATTTATTATTATTTTTTGTTCAGCTTGTTTTGTTTGATTTCTTCTATTTTGCTAAGAAGGTGGCTGGGGGTTGCGGAGGAGCCGGGCCCCCTGTTTGTGGGAGATGCCATGGGCGGCAGTGTCTTCCTCAGCAACTTCTCTTTTGGCACGCTATTACTTAATTACGATGGTTTTTCGGAGTCGCTTTCGATCTCGATGGGAGTTGTCCCCCCATGCGTTTTCCAAATTCACCGGAGTCACAAAACGTCTTGAGGTCCTGTTCACAAAGAAACAAGTAGAGAAGGAGGAAAAGAAGAGTCGAAGGGTTTCAACCTGCAACGCCGGGCGCCGTATAAGTGATTGGTATGGGAATGGTGTGGCTGTTTTTAATTAAAAAAACAGAATAAAATAAAAAAAA